ATTCAGAATGTCACCAAAATTTAATCAGTTCTAAGTTAGTCCCTTTCTGACTTGTCCCCAAAAATTCGATGAAATCCGACCTTTTTGAGCTAGGCTCTTAACAAACAAACTAACCAACAAACCAACGCCGTCAAAAACATAACCTCCTTGGCGGAGGTAATTATAGTAATAACAATAAAATCCATGCGTGCATTTGTGCATTCATGCTAGCGCGCACATGCAAACACGCACGGTATGTGCATGTGTGTGTGTGAATGCACACACACACGCATGGATTTGCAAATATTGGATCGGTCTTAGATACGATTGTGGTGCCCGACTGCCGCCTTGAAGTTTAGTCCGTACATGGTCAAAGCCTATGGGAGTTCACGCTATACAAAAAAAAAAAAAAAAAAAAAAATGCTGGCAGCCCATGGTCATTTGTCATGGCCCGCCTACCAGCATAGAACTTGGCAATAAGAACAGCCAGACACAAAGTGTGAATAATAATAGTAATATATATATATATATATATATATATATATATATACATACATATATATATGTGTGTGTGTGTGTGTGTGTGTGTGTGTGTGTGTGTGTGTGTGTGTGTGCGTGTGTGTAACAGATAGAGAAAGAGAGAGAGAGAGAGAGAGAAAGAGAGAAGGGGGGGATATATATGCATATGAATATAGAGATAGATATCCTGTAGATATAAACTTACGCACATATGTATTCATGCTTTAACAAAATATGTGCAACTGACATCATGTCTGACATGTTATAAAATCGTTGAATACATTCATGTTTTGTATTGGAAAAAATAGTATCCTGCTGGATAATGTTTTAAAGTTATGGCCATTTACCTTTTTTCCTCAACTTACCTCTATTTCTCTCACTTCTCACTCATTCTCTTCTTCCCTTATGTCGCCTACATTATCCTTCCTCCCCTTCCCTCCTACCACTAATTGGGAATTCATTCATTCAACACTCTCTAATTTCGTAAACACAAGAGGTCACATTGCTGAATTCCTTGAAAGCGTCATATACGGTCGCAGCTAGTTCCGGCTACCTAAACCGGCATAAACGTTCGCATAACTGCATGTAATCACACAGCTATGCGAACGGGAGCGAGACCAGATATGCCTAGACATACATATACTGTGTATGCATTGGCCGGCACAATAGAGGGAACGAAATCTGACCTGTGCTGTGAGGGGACTCTTGGAAGGTGGTGTCCTGGCTTGGAACTCTGGATATAGACGTATGTGCAGATCAGTGTGAATGTTATTTGTGTCAAGGTTTAGGAGTCGTACACGAATTACGTTTGTAATTTTAACTATCAGAACTTCCTTTTCTTTAGTATGTTATTTTCTATATTTTTATTCAGATGTAAACGTAAGCATTCTTTATAGTTATTTATGATATTTATTCCTTAATGGGGTAAACTCAGCGACAAAGATTAAGAATATTCACGAGACTCTACCAATGGAATGATAAAAATGCCACATTCAAATTCCATTTAATAGGCCTTAGCCCCCCCCCTTTCTCTCTATCTTCCAATCTATCTAACTATGTGCCTGTCTGTCAACCTATCTATTTTTCTTTCTTTGTGTCTGTCTATATCTCTATCAAGCCAGCTAACTTGATATCTGTGTGTCTGTCAGTCTGTCTCTCTGTCTCTCTCTCTCTCTCTCTCTCTCTCTCTCTCTCTCTCTCTCTCTCTCTCTCTCTCTCTCTCTCTCTCACACACACACACACACACACACACACACACACACACACACACACTCACTCCTTCTTTTCATCCCTCTCTCCCTCCTTTCCTTTCTCCCTCTCCCCCTCTCTTTCTCACTTTCTCTCTCTCCTGCTCCCCTTTCTATCAAAACAGGAGCCGCCGAAGCGAAAGATTATGATAAATCCAAGCGAAGGAAAGTTTATATAACCCGTGTCTTTATTTGCTTTTGGCGTTTAAGGAACGTTCGAACTTACGCCGTTAAGGTGGGCGTGTTCACTCGTGCCGCTGCGTTAGGGCGCGTTGAGGAAGGGGGGGGGAGGGGGAGCCAAAGTAGGTCCTGGGAGTTTGTTTTTTCATCTTATTTCGTCGGTTTATTCATATGTTTGTTTTGTTTTGTTTATTTGTTTGTCCTTTTTTTCCTCTCTCTTCTACTTCTTTGTTTTTTTCTTTCGTATATTTTATTCAATTTGCTTATTTTCCGTCTTCCCGCTGTTCTTACTCTTACCGTTACCCTTTTTTCTGAATCGCTTTTTTCTGTCGTCTTTGGTTTTTAATCTATCTCTCACATCCCCCCTCTCTCTCTATCCATTTATCTATCTCTCTTTCTCACTTCTCTCTTTCTCTCTCTCTCTCTCTCTCTCTCTCTCTCTCTCTCTCTCTCTCTCTCTCTCTCTCTTCTCTATTTTTTCTCCGGCATGGAAATCTCGACTTCCAACTTTCGCTATATTTCCCGTCCCTTTCATCACGTTTATGGCGTCCTTGATGATCGAATTTTTCCTCTAT